TCTGGGCGCCATGGACAGCTGCGTTGGGGCCTGTCTCTGCCAAAGTCTATGCCCTGTGGTGGTGGTGGACCTGTCGCTTATAACACAAGTTTTGTAAAATGAAAATGCAAAAAAATAATTAGCTAAAACACTTTAGAAAAATAAATCCTATAATAAACTGAGAGTATCCCTATTCACATGTGTGCTTGGGTGGTTTTCTTCTATCACACTTTCTTATTTTTGTTATATACTTCTACTCTTGTTCATATATATTCTCTCTTATAGCAGCAGTACCTCTAGGTAGGGTACCCTCACTACGCTCTTCCCACAGGATATGTGGACCCTACATCTCAGTAATGTTTTGCACTACTCGAGATCCTGTATGGCGCGGGGTTTTAGCCATACATCACGTTTGTCTTAGGTTGACACTATTGTTTGGGATCAACCCGTCCTATTTTTATGCATTCACTAATAACGATGTTTCTATTCTTTTTTATATACTTTGGAAACCCAAAGGGAGAGAGAGCCTCGAAAACAGATAAGAAAATACAATTTAAGTTGACAATAAATTTCTGGGGGATCAACACACCATGCAAATGGTCTATCATTTTGAACTTCCTGATAAAAAAATGAGGTACAAATCTGCACTTTGCAAGAAACCCACTCGGCAAGAACTAACCAAAATACGATCAACTCATCAAGATACCCTACTATCATAAGTGCGGCTCTAGAAAACAAAAATAAGAGGCGTAGCATTTGTGTTTGCAAAAAAATTCTCACTAATTATTAAATATCAAGACTTAGACCCAGAAGGACGATATATCATTCTAATATGTGAAATAAATAACAAATTATTCACATTAGTTAACATTTATGCACTGTGGTGGCACCCCGGGCAAGAGAAGGGGTTAACGCCACCAAAGGATGTTCTTTCCCCCAAGTATAAAGTCTGCTACCAAATAATCCCAAGCGCTAAACAGGAACCTTGAAGAAATATCCCCCCAAGCACGAGACGAGGCTCAGTGTTGAGGGTCAAGCATGAACTGGTTTCAATGAGTGCCACAGGCTGGCTTTTATGTAAGTCCCCATGCAAGGGGTTTCCTGACAACATTTTCCAAGGGCATTCCCCACTGGACCTGAAGGGGCACCACGGTATGAACACAGACATAATTACATTACCCTTCAGGTTCAGGACATACAATCTTACAAAACCCATAAAAATACATTTAACATTGGGGTATCCCCTTGAGTCCTATATCCCCAGGTAGCTGGGATCTGAGCGCCCAACATATGTTGAATGTACTCAGATACCACGAAAGGAGCCGAAACACCACCGGGTTATAGTTTTGACCGACCGCACACAAGGTGCATGCCCAGGATAGTTCCATGAAGTCAGGCTGTGCGGGCGGTCTCTTTCGGGGATACCAATTTACACAAAACATACAATACAACTGGTCGAGGAATAATTTGTTCCTTTTCTTTAGTTTGTGTGGTTAAAACTACCGAACTGCGCCGTGTTTGTGCTGTTGGAAGTCAGCCTGCTCGTGGGATGGAAGTCTCAGCGGTTTTTGTGCGATTGCGTGTCCCCGACAACAGTTCTAGATGCTCGACGACAAAACATGGCTGGGTAGTTTCGACTTCTAAGATGGCCACCACCTCGTGTTCGTTCATACGAACGACGACCAGCCAGCCAACCGTTCGGGAGATGGCTGCGGTTAACCACAGTGTCAAATGGGGTCAAAAACGTTAACAAGTAGCACACTTCCCTGCTGTGTGGCCAGCCATTCAATAGTTAATTCGTTTAAGTGAATGAAACCAGGGAAATAGACGAACAACCGGGAACTGGCGAACAAACAGACAAAACAAGTTTTTCAGTGATAATCCAGAGACAGGAAGGTCTGTTACATGCACCAAATAAATCTACATTCAAATTTATCACAACAACGTTCATGAAAATTGAGCAGATTAAACAAGGGTTGGTATTCATTATGGGGGACTTTATTTGCGTAGTGGGCACTCTCAAAGATAGAAAGAGCCAGAACGATAGGATTAGTAGGAAAACAACTGAAAATTGATTGCAAAACCTATTAAATAATTTAAATTTAAGAGATATATGGAGGACATTCCATCCTTCAGACCTAGATTATACATGCCACTCTAGAACATTCAACTCATACTCTAGAAAAGACCTTATCCTGGGTAACGTGTCCATGCTATATCTTGTTAAAAGAATAGAGATACAGGATACAGCATGGTTAGACCACAGCCCAATTATGCTGGAATATAAAAATAACTTTGATACATTTCGAAACGAGTGGAGCCTAAAAGACGTTTTATTACATAAAAAAAAAACAATGTTGAAGAAATTAAGAAACGTAGCTTCAAGTCTACTTCATATAAGAAAGGCCCGTTTGTACCATCATCAAAATATGCTAATTCACAACATTCTCATTTATCCTTTGAAGGCTCTCAGAGACATAAGTTTAGATCTTATGCAGATGTAGTCAAACTCCCCCAAAATGGTAACTCGACCCCCTCTACCTCGTATAGGGCCAAATCTGGCTATAGAAGAAATAACCCTCCCCCACCCCCACGTGATAAAGGTGAATCATCTAATTCCAACTATACCTCACTGGGGAGCAACCCACACTGTAACAGTAGGGAGAAGGAGGGGGAAAGGCGGGTTGATCCATCTTGTGATCTAGGTGCGAAATCTAAACATATTGCTCCCAGAAAGAATAATAGTTCCAGTATTTGTGATGATTTTTTAGAGTCAGTCCCCCCTCAAATAAGAGAGGAGAGAACTTTTCCTCTTTTCAAAAATATGAACAACAAAAAGAGGAGGGGGGTACCCATAGAGGAACGAGGGGAAGGGGGAAACAGCCCGGCCAAAATAAGATGTCTTTGATGAGAGGTTTATTTAACTTGACTCACCATACCCTTAATATGGGGGAGATCTCCTTGTAGAGTAAAGGACTCAAATACGCCCCGGATAGATTACCTAACATCATTGATTTATTTAAAGATCTTAACTACTTCGTTAAGAAATTGACGGTTTCTAGATCATTTAACATCAGGGAGTCTAAGGGTCTAGAAGATTGCCCTAAGATTTTTAACACCCCACAGGATAAAATAATTTTCTATAATTTAATTTCCTTATTGGATGAACAAGATAACCTCTCACAACAGTTTGGGGATGTGCCAAATATAATAGAGGCTAATATTCCATCTGGATTTAAACCTCCCTCTATGTTTTACCCCCAGGTGGATAAAGGCCCCTATATTCAAATGTTTTATGAACTGGTTTTGAAGGATTTGAGAGTCCTTTGCGAGACTCTCAAAAAGAAAAGAGACCGAGTGTGTAATAATTTGGATAAATCAGAATTAGCGGCCATTACTAGCTTGAAAGCCAATTGTAACCTTATTATCAAAGGAGCGGATAAGGGAGGGGGGATTGTCCTGTTGGATAGAGTTGATTATCTCAAGGAAGCTGAGAGGATCTTGGAGAATAGAGACTATTATGAGGTTTTAAGATATGATCCTACCTCACGATTTAGGGGTGAATTGAGAGACCTCATAGAGCTGGCCTTCCTGACTGGGACCATTGACAAAAAAGAAAGAAGTTTCTTCCTTACAACACAGGGAGAGATCCCCTTTTTCTACTACCTCCCAAAGGTGCACAAATCTCTCACTAATCCTCCAGGCCGCCAGATAATATCGGGTTTAAACTCATTGATTTCACCCATTTCTAAGTGGGTTGATTTTCATTTACAGAGATATGTTCCACATCTGCCCTCTTTTTTAAAGGATACAGGACATATGTTGTCCTTAATCAAGGAAATTGAGTGGTCAGAACATTATTGCTGGCTAACAATTGATGTGGCAGCCCTCTATTCCAATATTGATCACATTTTGGGCCTAAAAGCCATCTCTCTATGTTTACAATCAGATCCCCTTCTTCCAGTAAAACAGTCAGAATTTATTATTACATTTATGGAATTTATGTTGAAACATAATTATTTTGAGTTTAGTGGGAAGTTTTTTGTACAGACAAGGGGAACTGCGATGAAGGCGAGTTTTGCTCCATCCTATGCTAATTTATTTATGGGTCACTGGGAACAAACTATGATTTTTGCAAACCCTTATTGGATGGAGCGACTCGCCCTCTATCGGAGATTTATTGATGACATCATTATCATTTGGAGAGGTGACTGGAACGAAGTAGAAAACTTTATGACCTATATCAATAATAACCAATGGGGCCTCTCTTTCACTTATAAGAAACATAGGTCCTCTATTGATTTTTTAGACCTTACTTTGACTGGGACTAAAGGAAGAATTACTACCAAGACGTTTCAAAAGAGTGTTGATGTGAATGGTTATTTACATGCTAGAAGCGGTCATCATCCTACATGGATACAAAATATTCCTTTAGGACAATTTACCAGAATCAGACGAAATTGTTCGTTCATGTCTGATTATGAGTAAGAGTCCCTTGTGTTATGCCAACGCTTTATTGATAAATCCTATCTTCCAAATAAGGTATTACATGCGTATTTAAAAGGGCACAATTATAAGGTCAGTGCTCCACTCGAGAATTATTCTATGGGTCTCTCTAGTATGACTAATCCCCCCCCCCCCCAACTGTGTATTCCGAATATGAGTCCAACATCAATGAGAATCATATGATTCTGGATCTACTGGAAAAAATTCATGTCCCTAAGATGAAAAAAGCAAAACATAATATCAGCACAAGAGAGGTGGGTAGAGGTACAACACCCATCTTTTCAACCACATTTAATATAGCTTTTGATGATATTATTGGGATTTTCCATAAGTATTGGCCAATTTTGACTAAAGACCCCTGGTTATCCTTTTGCATTTCAGAATCCCCTAGGGTTGCATTCAGGAGAGCTCACAGCCTGAAAAACATTTTAGCTCCTTCTAAGTTACAGCACTCTAATGAGAGAAAAATGAGAGCGAATAAAGAGGGTCTAACTAACAAACGCTGTGGCCACACTAAATGTCTCACCTGTGGCTAAATCAGCCATCTCATTTCAAGTTTTAGCCCTTATAATAGCCCAGAGGTATTTTCAGTGCAATCTGAAATTACCTGCAACACTCCATTTGTAGTGTACCTCTTAATTTGCCCGTGTGATTGGCAGTATGTGGGCCAAACCACCAGGCCCTTGAAATGCAGGTTTCGAGAACATAGAACGGCTATAATTCGCAATAACACTAAGTCTTCAGTAGCCCGACATTTTGCCATGTACCATGAGAAGAATCCATCAACTTATCAAGTTAATGGGGCTAACACATATTCCCCCACACCAGGATGGGGAAGTAAGAAAAAGGGAACTAATAAAGTCCGAGTCCATGTGGATTTTTAAGTTAAATACTATGACACCTAACGGCCTGAATGAGGAGCTAGATTTATTTTAAGTTTTTTATTATTGGCTTGTTTCATGTTATAATATACTTTATGGCAGTGCCCGTATCTTTATGTTATTTTTTGGGTTTATTTTGTACATGTTTTCATATTTGTATACATGTTTTTACCTTGGTTATTCCGTATGGACCCTTTGGTAGCATATATATTCTTATATCTTCACTCTGAGATCTGGCTTTGGGTCTTTTGACATATTCCCAATATTATTGGATAATTTGTTGTTTGCTGTTTTTTGTTCATATAGAGATATACATTTTGTGTTCTCTCCCCTTTTTTTTATTTTTTATGATGGTCTAACTATAATTATATACATAGTTATTATGGAATAAAAAGTTTTTCTTTTAACATGTTATTGTTGTTGATGAAAGAGTTTTTCATGGATCAAGTCCAGGGTTTACCCTTTACTTATGTTAATTAGGTTATGCCTGGGCTATTTAAACTTTAAACTTTGATCTGTGGCAATTACTTTGTCTTGAGAAAGTCCCGTGGGCGGGACGAAACGCGTCGACGAGTCACAGCTGATTACGTGACGTTCTGCTCTGTTGCTGTGGGGAGCTATAGTGGTCTGCCGGTGTCTGTCGGGAGTTGGTCTCCTACACCGTGGTCTTTTTTGAAGACACCGACCGAGGTGCAACAGTCTGTCCTCCCTTGACGGATCCTATTTTGGCCACTACTATCTCTCTCCATTTGTACCTCGGTGGGGGCCCCCACCGAGGCAAGGTACTTTTATCATGTTTATTTGATGCTTATTTTATTTGTATCACACTGCTAGCATTTGTTACTCCTCCAGATACTTTGTTTCACATATTATAGCTTTAGTATCTGTCAGGTGTTTACTCTGGCTTCATTATCTGTCAGGATTTGCTTATTCATTGATTTTTTATTTTGTTGTTTACCTTTTAGCAACAGATTAATTTAGTCATGTTCTTATATATTTTTATTTTTTGTTATGATTGATTTATAGATCTTTTTTCTACTAAATATACGTTTGTACTTTAAGTGTTATTTCAATATTTCTAGGGGCGCACATATTTTTCTAATCTTTGAGCTTACACTTAATTCAGGTTGCTTGCAGATATATGTTGTAGGCCATTTAATTGTTTGATATTTATTACACCTTCTTATCAGTTTTTTATTAATAGAAATTAAGAATATAACAAATCTTTTCTTCTTAGAAAATAAAAACAAAGGTACATCCCATATAATGGTTTGGTGCGCCTACAAAAGCGTAGTTAGAGGCCATTTAATAAAAATGGCTGCCACTGCAAATAAAAAAGGATTACCGTCTTTTTCAAATTCTTCGAACATTTATCCATGACAAAAATTCCTCCCGACCAATTAAAGCTGATAAACAAGCCTATAACAGAAATAGAGGTCATCAAATCCATAGATAAGCTGAAAATAAAGACTGCCCCAGGTCCGGATGGCTTCACAAACAAATTTTACAAACTAATAAAAGACCAGGAACTCACCAACATTTTCAACAATATGTAGAGCTGTTGAGAGTGAAAAAAAAGCAAAAAGCAGATAAAGATACATAATTGATTGGCAACTATAGACACATATCATGAATCAATACAGATATTAAAATACTATCCTCTATCCTTGCTGATCAATTAAAAATAGTCATACCACAACTAATTAACAGTGACCAAGTAGGATTCATACCAGGGAGGCCTTCCAAAAACAATCTCAGAAAAATAATAAACATATTAGAATAAACAGAGAACAATGGAACTCCACTAATGTTACTGTCTATAGACGCAGAGAAAGCGTTTGACAGGGTTGAATGGGATTTCATGTCTGCCACCTTAAAACAATTTGGATTCACTGGACCAATATTACAAGAGATGTCCACTCTCTACAGCTCTCCAACAGCCAAAGTAACAGGCTCAGGATTCACATCACAAAACTTCTGTGTTAAAAATGGGACTAGACAAGGGTGTCCTCCTTCCCCTCTACTGTACATAATGGTGTTAGAACTTCTTGCGATCCTAACAAAACAAAATTATTGAAGGATTTACAAACTCTTTAGGACAAAGCAAATTAAATATCTATGCAGAGCTTCTAAAGGAGATAAACAAATATTCTATTGTGTCAGGATATAAAATGAATATAGAGAAATCAATATTTATAGCTAAAAATCTGAATACGAGGTCAATTAAATTTCTTGTAGAAAACCTTGGGCTTTCAGAAAATAAGGATAAGCTAAAATATCTAGGTATAACACTAACCTCAGAATTAAAAGACTTAGTAGAAGCCAATTTTCTACCTTTAATAATCCAAACTAACGAAAATCTAAAGGACTGGAAAGGTATGGGATTGTCCTGGTCAGGAAGGAACAATTTCCTTAAAGAATATATTTTACCAAAATGTCTGTACCTATGGAGAATGATCCCACTTAACTTCACAGAAAACTGGTTATCATTACTACACTCATCATTTTTTAAATTTGTATGGGGCGGCAAGAAAGCAAGAGTTAAAATAAAAGTCTTGGCTAGATCAAGGCAGGATGGAGGTCTGGGGTGCCTGGAATTTTTACAAGCTAGTAGACTTTTCCACATAATGCTTACACAAAATATTGCTGTAATCCAAGAAGCATGGTATAAAATGGAAAAAGCCAAAACCAGGGTAAGGAATTTAACGGCACTATTTTTGGTCCTAGATGTGAACAAAAAATCCATCCAAAAGGCACAAATGAAATCTCAAATCCTCAAAGAATTAACGAGCTGGTGGGATAAATTCTCAAACAATATAGGCCTCAGAAATAGAATAATATATGAGCTCCCTTTCTTTAGTATTACAGATATGCTAGACAACATAAAAATAGACACTTGGAAGTCTGGGGGGATAAGGGAATTAAAAAGTATACTGTTAGAACATAAGATTAAAACCTTCAATCAAATTATGGAGGAATTCAACACTCCCTCCAAGGAAACTTTCAACTTCCTGCAAATTAAGGGCTTTTTAGCAGAACACCTTCTCCAAAATGAGGGGGAGAAAATTACAACCCTCAAACATCTACTCGAATTAAAGAACTATAAAAACCTAATGGCAAAATGCACTAAAGTCATATACAACTAGAGACATGATAAAACGATAGAGCTTATTAATACATGGGAAAAACAACTACAAGTACAAATAGAAGAAGAAGAATGGATAAGCTCTCTAAACAAATTAAACAAACATGTACATTGTCTAAATCTTAGAGAAACCCAATTTAAACTCTCAAACAGATGGTACCTAACACCGAAACTTTTAAAGAAAATCTTCCCAGAGTCATCAGACAGATGCTGGAAATGTAATATTAATGAAGGCAACTTAATCCATAGCTGGTGGCATTGCAGACCTATAAATAAATTCTGGAAAGAGGTAACCAATGTAATATATCAATTAATGGAAATAAAATTAGTTATTAAGTCAGAAGTGATTCCATTAAACTTGCACTGGCCAAAAATAACCAAAAAAAATATTGATGGTAATTCTACATATAACTACAGCAGCTAAACTAATGTTAGCACGAAACTGGAAAACACTTACAATACCATGCACTCAAGAATTAATATCTCAAGTCATATGGCAAGCAAGAATGGAAAAGGGCATCCTAGTGAACTTAGGAAACAGATACATCCAAACAGAAGACTGAGATACATGGATATGTAAAATGGAAATGATAACCTAACAAATACCATCATGGTTACTTTACCGCCCTTCTGATTCATGCAATAATTAGATCGGGTATAGCTAAGACTAAATGAGCCAAGGGCCAGAAAAGGGGAGGGAGGGGAAAAAAAGGGGGGGTCACAGGGAATTTAAATAGGATTGCACGTGATATTCATGATGACTCAAGTACCATGGCCTGAAATATAGAAACACTAGCAAAACTATACAAGGCAGGTACATGTCTAAAATAAAAAAAGCAAAAAAATAAAAGAAATCCCACCGGAAATAAATGGAGAAATATAGAAAGTCCCTAAACCGGTCCTTAGAATGGTCAGATAATAGATAATAATATTCAAGGAGAGTCAGAAAGAGCCAAGGTCAAGTGAAGCCAGAGATACACTAATACGAGAGACAAAAGCCGAGTCAGGGAAGCCAGAAATTCACAAGGCCAGTAACAAAGTCGAGTAATTGGAGCCAGAAAACAGAGTAGTCGAGAGCAAGCCGGGTCAAAACTAATCAATACCAAAAGGGACAAAAAAATGCATTATAGGGACACTAGTAACACTAGGAACGACAACAGGGCACTGTACTTTGAACATACTGGGATTTTATATGTTTGGGGTTGTAGTTAGCATAACCACGCCCCCAAAACGTGTGTGTGTGTGTGCTGGGCTCTATTACTTAGAGCACCTGTGACGTCATGACGCCGGCACGTGTGCGTCACATCACAAATATTATTGTGTGGAGCTTCTTACATAATGAAGTGACAATCAGTCATACCAACATACAGATGTAGACCCTGGAACCAAATTTAGCAAAATCATAGAGAAGACAATAAGGGAAAGTCTCAAGAAGGCTTCCTTAATCAATCACTTTTCGATTTTTGTTACAAAGTTTTCCAATATATCTTATGATTTACACGTTGCAACAGGTACTTAAAAATGCAGTGACACCATCGGGGAGACCTATCATGTAGGCCATTGGCAGCTTACTCTAGCCTACTGCACAATGGTTAGAACACAATTTTAAAGCTCTGGTGCAGACCTTGCGAACTTGTGCTAGGGCCACCCTGGATGTGCTCTCTAGAATAAAAGACACGAGAATACCGAAAAAGGGCTC